AGCACCGCGCTGCTCCACAGCGAGGGCGACCCGCCGTCCGTCGCGCGCACCGTCACGTTGTACTCCGCCACCGCCTCGCGGTCCAGCTCCCTTGATGTCACAACGCTGTAATAGTCCTCAAAAGACTTCTCCAGGCGGAAGGGGAGCGTGTCGGCAAGGGACAGTCTCACCTGCCCACTCGCTCCTGAATCTTCGTCTTTAACTTTTAATAAAGCGATAACAGTCCCCGGGGGGCTGTCCTCGGAAATAGAATTCACGACAGACGTCACGGTGATTAGAGGCGCATTGTCATTCACGTCAATCAAGCTCAAAAGGATTTTCGACCTGGCTGAAAGGTCCCCACCGTCCTTCGCCTGGACCTCCAGCTCATACAGAGGCGATTCTTCGTAGTCCAGTCTACCCGCCGTCGCGACGTCTCCGTTGAAGGCGTTGACCTGAAAGAGGTTCGACACTCCACCAGGCGTCATGAGCAAGGAGTAAGTCAGCTCTGCGTTGGTTCCCTCGTCCGCATCGGTGGCGTTCACGGTGAGCAGCCGCGATCCCTCGGGCACGTCTTCCCGCACGCGCACCGTGTACACCGCCTGGCTGAACACCGGCGCGTTGTCGTTGGCGTCCAGGACGACCACGTGGATCCGCGCCGTGCCCGTCCGCGCTGGATCCCCGCCGTCCACCGCGGTCAGCACGAGATCGTGAAAGGCGACTTCCTCACGGTCCAAGGCTTTTGAGAGCAACAGTTCTGCGTATTTCGATCCATCTGGTCGCGTTTGCACATCTAGAGCGAAGTGTTCATCTCCGCTCAGCTCGTAGCGTTGCAGTGTATTCGACCCCACGTCCGCGTCTTGTGCTTCTTCTAGCAAATACCGCGTTCCCACAGCTGCTGTTTCACTGATTCGAAACTGCAGTTTATCTTGTTGGAACTTGGGAGCGTTGTCATTCAGGTCGGTGATTTCTACATCCACTTTGAAAACCTTCATAGAGAATTCTACCAAAATTTCTAGGTTTATCAGGCATGTCTGCAGCCGCCCGCAGACCTGCTCCCTGTCTATGCGTTCTGTCGTCACTAAATGGCCGGTCCTCTCATGCAGAGAAAAGTATTGCCTCCTACCTTCGGAAACGACGCGGGCGCCGCTGTCGCGGAGAGCCGAG